TTTTAAGATAACAAATAAAAACACGACGTTTCGGAAACTGGATCTGTTTCCGTCCTCAGGTGAAGGAAAACACCTATTCAGTTGGGTCCCTTAGAAAGAGATAGCCTCAATCACTGGAACTTACTGGATCTGTTTCCGTCCTCAGGTGAAGGAAAACACCTATTCAGTTGGGTCCCTTAGAAAGAGATAAAGTCCAAAATCCCAACATATCAGTGTGTTATACACCATCGTCAGAATCCTATAGTAACTAATCGCAATATAAGTTTAGCCACCCATGACATCATGAGGTAGATATTGGGTCAGCGAAGTCGTGAATGAGATTTTTGTATGTGTGAGCTCGAGGTTAAGATTTATAGCTTCTTATCGTGGTCTACGCACAGAGATTCACTGCTAGAGAGCCGTATACACGACGACGTCGTATGGAAGGTGCTGAAAGTGAAAAACAGCTGTTCAATGACACAGATTCGGACTGCTATTCAACCGATTCTGAAAGGGGCGATGAAAGTAGGAGTTCTGAATCCACGGACGTAGGGTCATCACCTTCGTCGTCAACTTGGGGACCGCCAGACCAGTGTGGCTGGAGAGATGTGAATAATTATGCCGGTGTAGCTGCGGGGATAAATATCACTTGCAGCTTGATATCACTGGCCTGCTTCCTCCAAATCGCAACTGAGGTGTCGTGTGTGCTTTTCGCGTGGGAAGCGGTCTAGCGTTCGTACGAAGTGCGTGAGCTGCGACGTCGGACTCTGCATTTCGGAATGTTTTCGGCAGTATCATACGAAGGCCACATTACCATAGATGACGCAGGAGGGAAGGCTGTTTCCTCATGAAGATGGTGAACATATATTACGTAAGTAGAGCAAAAATTTAATTTTAAATTTAATTTTAAAAAAATCTTTACACGCGTACAATGTGCGAAATCATATGAGGTCGTTCGGCCATATGACGTCGGTAGATTACATTAGATCACGCAGGAGGGAAGGCTGTCACCTTATAAAGGTTGTGACCAAAAATTATGTAAATAGAACAACAATTTATATTTTAAATTTAATTTTAAAAAAATCTTTACACGCGTGGAATGCGCGACATCATATGATGTCGTTCTTCAATTTGTCCTTACTTTTAACGTCATATGACGTCGCTAGATTACATTAGATCATGCAGGAAGGAATGCTGTCTCCTTATAAATGTGGTGACCAAAAATCATGTAAATAGAACAACAATTCATATTTTTAATATAATATTAAAAAAACCTTACATGCGTGGAATCCGCGACATCATATGATGACGTTCGGCCAGCTGCCCTTACTTTTAACGACATCATATGATGACGTTCGTCCGATAAAGGTTAAAATCAGTATTCTTATTTGTTTAAGTACTATATCCACTTGTAACTTACTTACTGACTTACCCTTGTACTTAGCATGTGCCACAGTGAGAAGTCTGAGAAGTAAATAGTGACAGTGATAATATAACTACTTGTAGTTACAAGTTACAGTGTCCAATATATCCAATTACCAATCCAAACCACATGTCAAATAACTAACACATGACAATATATATACGTGTTAAAGCATATACTGCAGCCATGGATTGGCTACACAGAGTGCAGCACTGCCTTCACAAATCTACTTCCTTGAGATTGAACTCAGAAAAAAACAGGATCCTACAAAACCCACCCTAAAACATTAACTGCCAAGTACTACTGGTAACATAAAACCACTGATTGCAACATTGTGGGTGGGGGGCAGAAACTTCCTAAAAGAAAAATGATTGCTGATAGGCAAAATTTATGTTTAGCTAATGAAAGAACATACTTTAAAGTTTTAAATCATGTAGTTTTAAACAAAATATCTTGAAGGTGGTGGCCACCGTTCTCTATGCACTGATGCAACCGTTTTCTGAAGTTCCCCTCTGCACGTTCCTATATGTGCACCGGAATTTGGGCTACTTCCTGCCGAATAACATTCTTCAGCTGAAGCAGGTTTGTGGGGCAATGTTTAAAAACCTCTGCCTTGAGGTATCTCCATAAAAAAATCACAGGGCAATAGATCAGGTGAGTGCGCTGCCCACAGGATATCTCCTCGAAGCAAGATGAGCTGTCCGGGGAACTTTGCCCTCAAAACTGTCATTGAAGCTTGGGTTGTGTGGGCCATGGCACCATCCTCTTGGAACCAGACATTTCCTAGATGCATTTCTTCAAGAGCTGGTTCGAAAAAGTTTTTAATCATGTCCACATACCGCTGTCAATTGACAGTAACTGCATGATTGTCTTCTTCAAAAAAATAAGGGCCAAGAACTCCAACTCTCGACAATGCACACCATACTGTCACCTTATCACTGTGAAGTGGCCTCTCATGGAGCTCTCTGGGATTGTTACCACTCCAATAGCATATATTCTGCTTGTTGACATATCCGGATAGGTGAAAATGTGCCTCATCACTAAAGAAAACAAGTGCATCATGGGGTAAAATTTCCAATAACGTTTCGCACGCCGTTATTCGGTTCTGGAAATCACGTAGTGACAATTCTTGCACAACAACCATCTTATAGGGATGGAAATTAAGATGTTCATGAAGAATCTGGTGCACTGAAGGACTGGATATGTCTAGGGCGACTGCATGTTTGTGAGTGGAACATCTTGGAGATCTCAAAATCAATTGTCGAACTGCCACACATTTTCTGGCATCATAAAAGTCCGTTGTCATCCTGATGATTTTTTCACCACACTCCCGGTTGTCCTAAAGTTCTCTACCCACAAAACAATCGATTTCCAGTCAGGAACCGGACCTCTGGGCTTAATTCCGAAGTGAGTATGGAATGCACGCTGCACCGCCACGTAGGAATGGTTGTTCGAAAAATAGACTTCGACAGCAAACGCATGCTGCTCACTCATCCACCTCATGTTTCCTACTGAGGGGTATTAGACAGAAACTTCCGTGACTGCTGTGTTCGCTGGGCCTATCTGCACTTTTCTGGGACCTCCCCTCCCTTCACCATGAGTCTTCACAAAAGGAACTTTCTGCGCCCCACCCTGTATGACCCTTGTTTTTTCAGATTCTCAAGTAAGGGGAGGGAGGGGGGAGGAAAATGGCATAGCTCAGTTAAGTAGAGAATTTGGAATACATCTGCTTTTAGTTATCTGCACTGCTTCTGCCCTCCATCACTATGGATAATCAAGAGTTTACTATACAATCTCTCTACACGTTTGAGAGTGAAGTGCAAAGTCACTTACTGAATGTGAAGGCTATTGCTTAGAAAACACAATCATGAGAAACATACATCTGAAGAAAATACTGACTTACACGAAAATATGAGTCTCAAGAACTCAAACTGAACTAGCAGTGGAAAATAATGCACTACGCATATTTAGGTGCGTGTACACACAGGTAAAGGTAAAGTTGTGCCTGTGCTTAATTAATTATGCACTATGCCATGAAGACATGGGAGAGTGATGGTATAGCTCTGCCATTCTTGGCCTTGGCAGTAGATGGAAGTGAGTGATCAGCTTCATGTACCAGCCACTTTACTCCCAAGGAAATCACCCCTTGTACCCAATGGATAGGAAGCTGGGTGGGCCCTTGAGCCAGTCTAGATGCTACGGAGAACAGGAAAATCTTGCCCTTGCAAAGGAATCAAACCACAGTCACACAAGTTTTTAAATTTGCACTTTTTAAATTATGTTTAGTAATTACAATTGTAATAAGCTTCTTGTTTTTGTTTTTTTTCTATTGCCTATGTTACTTGACTAGTGTGTGTATTATTATTATTATTATTGTTATTATTTTAGTTGTGTGACTTGTGTAATTTAGTACATGTATACATCTATTATCAAAGGGACTATTTCCACATCTTAGCATTTTTGCCTGTATGGATATATGGAAAATAAAGGAATTGAATGAATGAATGAACAACCTGTAGCCCACTGATATACAGATTGAGCTATCCCAACTCCATGGTACATGTACATATTTACTTCATTAATTTCTTTCATCATGTATATACAGACAGCAGTGTCGTCCTCCTGTCTTTGTTAAGTTTATAGAAAATTATAACTATAATTCTCTGTTAGTTGCCTAGGTATGTAAATTTAACATTACTGGTGATCTATTTTTATGTCAAATAATGTACACCATTTGAATATACTCAGTGTACTAGAGGTGACAATAATGTATAAAATATTTATTTTCTTCAATACTGAGAACTCCATTCATTAAAATTATTATGCATCTCCTCAACTTACAAATGTTAAAATTACATTTTCAATAAAAAAGGTAAAGCTATCCCTGTAACAGTCTGTGGATGCCCATAGGGTTCTGAGATGTCAGTGTTCCCACATTTTCTAGATAATCGACTTACAGATGGTGGTGAGGTTGTCAACCTTGCACACCGGCCACTCTTTACCCCCAGGAAGGTTCCTGGTACTCATTTCTGTTAAATGCTGAGTTCACCCCATGGTCATAGTGCAAGTAGAAGGATGAGGTCAACTGAAGAATCCAATGACCTCACTGGCAACTGAACCCACAACCTTCCAACTAGTAGCACAGTGCTTCAACCAACTACACTATCACATACCCCATTATATTTTCAGTAAACTAAAGAAATCAATTACATGAATGAAGAATGAGAAATTATTCTGTAAATTTTAAATCTGAATTTCATCAATGTTTATTTCATTAATACTGTACTACACTACATTTGTAGATCAACATTGGAAATTAAAAATTACACATTTCATAAAATGCCTATTACAGTAACCACCCACCATATTCTTCATACATTTTCCATTAACCAAAGCCACTTATAATTTAGGCATTAAAGGAATAACAGTTCTGCCACCACAGCCCTTTGCACAGCAGAGTATGTCTAGGTTCACTGACAGAGATCCCAGAAAACAAATCACCATCACATGGGTCCAAGAGTACTCTAATGTTGTGGGGGGAGGGGATCCTTTCCCTACAGACAGGCACCAAATGTGAAGAATACATGTGCAAACTGACCTTTATTCTTTCATTTGAACTGAAGTGCAAAATGAGATCACAATGTTCACTCCTTGTAAATAGCTGCTGAAGTCTCTGGAGGAAGAATATTCCCCAGTTGTCAACTTTAACTTGCTTTATAGTCCCGTCACTCATGATGAAGCTGGCATCCTACATCCAACAGGTCAAACTGCAAGGACGAAAGTTCTGTGATCTGTAAAAGAACATACATTTCTAATTGCTTGACAATGCAATGCAATGCAATGCATCTTCATATCTGATGCCATGGTACTAAGCAGGTATAGAGATAGTACCACTGTACACCAGAGTTCCCCAACTTTTTGTGTACAGGGGGTCCTTCTGGTAGATCCCCAAACCTAAACTGAAAGCTGAAGATATCAGTACTATATTAACCAATGGTTTAGTGAAGAATCATAAGCAAAGCCATCAAAATGTGACATACTGTGCTGGCATGCTGGATTTTTCATTCCAGATGTGTCTTCTTCAATAGGAAAATAGATAAAAATTCTAGAATAAGTAACATTGAATGCTGGATTATCAAACTGTACAGCTCTGACCTCACATCACTTCCTTGCTGCAAGAAATCAATAAATATTATGTAAAAAAATTGTCTTCCCACTCTCTTGTAATGGAAATACAGTTACAAGAATTCACTTGGCAACAGGCTTGGTTCTTAAACTTGTAGGAATAACTTCTGAACACAGATGATCAAATGTTTGACTATGATATTATGTGTGAAGAACCCCATAACAAGAACAAATGAACCAAATTAAACTGCTACACTGACATTTATTGTATGACTTATGTCAGTCCAAAGAGAAGCCTCTGTCAAAGAATTACTGGGCCTATATCATGACTGTGAAGTCGGTAGGAGAAGAAAATTACATATACTGAGCCCCTCTCTAGAGTGACAGAACTACAAGTGCTCTGTGGCTGTGCTCCGCATCTCTTAATTTAGAGCAGAACAGGAAGACATCAGACTACAGGTTCTATCAGATTTCAAGAGGCAAGGTAAATCTGTGGCTTTTAATGGTGTAATTTAGGATTGTTAAGAAAATAACTGCAACATATTGTGACATGTTGAGCTCTGAATGACGCCCCTCCCTCCCCACCCTCCGCCAGCCGTGATGCGCCGAGCGAAGCCGAAGCGAGCCGATGTTAGCCGAGTCCTAGCATCCTGGTCGCTAGGCAACGCAAGTCAACGCGGTGACGTCACCGAGGGATATCGCGGTTACTAGGCAGCCGTCAACAACTCCGGACAGCGTGGCTAGCAACAAGGCACCAGGCGACAACTGTCCGATCGAGTCTACATAAGGAGCAGCGAAGGCTATTCACAGTCAGTTGAAACATAACGGCTGCGTGTGCGATAACCAGTTGTAACCAGTCATATCTGGAGTGTGTAATTCAGGGAGACTTGTATAGCTCCCGCATTATTAGTACGTGAAGACTCTCGAAGAGAGTGTTAAGAGATTTTGTTGTAGGGTTTGTAAAGTGTAGAAACCCGTAACATTGTGATAAGTAATTGTAGCCGTTACTTGTAGATTGTTGAATAAACCAATTAACGATCTCTACGGCCTATTCAGTAACGTAAACACGTTACACTGGTGTCAGAAGTGGGATTAGAACTTACACACGTGATCAACGAGCTTCGAACTCAAGACACGTGACAATATATTGTGCATGACAAACTATTTTCTGAGATCAAAGTCATAAGGACTAAGTCTGGAGATGTGGTGATATTCACTGATAGTAGTAGCCACATGGGTGCACAATATCATGAAACATTTTCAGCGTGTATGTGCATAAACAAAGCAACTCTGCTGCAGCACTGGATGCAGGTGATGCCCCAGGAAATTACGATAGCTCTGTATGTTTCCAGTATGGTTCTCTAAGAGTGAAATGCAGTGAGATATCATATGTGTTGCACACTATAATCAGGATAAGCTTCTATGTGAAGTTTGTTTTGATAAGGAGACAAATTCATCTGACTGTCGTTACAGTTTGGACTCATACACAACCATGTGCCTGTTTCATCCACGACTATGATAAAGTGCAGGAATGCAGTCCTTCTGTGTGGTCACACTCCAAATGCAGGTTGTATATAACAGTGCCACATTTGCTCCTTGGAGAGGTAATAAGAAATCCTACATGCTTGTGATTTCGTGTAGTGTGAGGATCTCTTTCAAGGCATGCAATACCATTTTACAGCTTACTTCAGCTTCAGCTGATTGCTGTGATGTCTGCCTCTCCACAAACCATAATGATTAAATGATCTTAATGTATTTCTTTGAAAAGGCATGTCATTATGCATGCTGCTTATCCCTTGCCTTGTCCTGATCAATGCGCTATGCTCACACTGAACGTGAGACTGACTGATGCAGCATGCTTCCTGCAGACCTTGAAAATAGTCCTCTGTATAATATCCTTGTGTTACCTTCAATTTTATATGCGAACTCTACTCCATCCTCATAAATGTGAATCTGAAGCACACAGTTGTGACAATATAATATTACTGACTTGCACATTTGTATCACTGTTATCAACACAGGTCTCCAGCTGGATATTAGTCAAACCTTGTAAGTCTGCAGTAGTCATGTAATTAACCCACAAAACTTTCACTTCTTTGGAGAAGCAAATGTTTCCCTTGAGGGGCCACATAGATTATAAATTCCACGGTTCATTTGACTTTGTGTCGTGCAGAAGTTTGAACTTTACAGTGCCAATTATGCAGGCTTTCCTTTAGTGATCGTGGAACATTTGCAAATTAGTAGATGACTGGTGAATTACCTTATGCACACTAGGACATTCATTTAAGACAAGACATGGGTTTAGGCCAAACATTTTTGTATCTCATAACAGGATATAAAAACAAAATTCAAACTGACCTGACTCAAATGGAAACTGTATTACAAAATCAATTTGCCAGTCCATGCAATTCACTGTATCAGGGAACCAATCACATCTATAGATTTCAAAATTATGAGGAGGAGGAGTCAGCACACTATCTTGACAATAGAGAAGCAATGTTAGGCAGTAATTTGTGGACTTTTATACTGACCACACATCATGGTGTATGTGTTGCCATTTGGGGATTTCACAATCACCTACATTTCAGAATTGCCTGGTAAATCATACTATCCATCCATAACCAAGGTAATTTTGACTGTGATCTTCTTAATGAAGACACTGTGTGACACCACAAGCGAGAGGGCCACAACTGGAACAATTAATGTGTGGAAACCTCAAAATTTATAACTGAGATAATGTGTAAACTGTGAGAGGTAGAAACTGCATATCCTGTATTATGATGATGACAGGAATGTTACCAATCCAAGTGCATCACATGGTTAATGGAACTGGATAATGAATTACAAAACAGATTGCTTTGAAAGACAATCTTTCTATATGTACATGTTCACCAATGTTCAGTGAACTGTGTTCCATAACAAGACAAACAAACCACCAAACCATTAAAAATAAAGCTTAGAATTGGCATCCTGTGTTCACAGGATGTTCACAGATGTTCACACCTGCACAAATCCTTACCAGCAATAGTTAGAATAGCTCGCTGTAACCTCCACCCCATATTCCAAGATACAGCTCTTATGTCAGCTACTGATACAGCTGGCTAGGTTCAACAATTATGACATGAAGCATGATAACAAAGGCGCATGTATGGTGAGGTGGGTGATAGATCAAACTGGTATATAGAAGTGATAAATGGTTGGTACACTCACGATATATGCTGCTAGGATTAAATTGCATATCTGATACAATTCTGAACACATACAACAGAGCTGCCACTCACTATATTTCTCCTGCCCTCAGTGATTATCAGAATGTGCTCTACTGCATGGTGTGCTTCAGAAACAACCACAGTTATCAGATCTGCAATTACAATATAACCTGGAACTAGACCAGTTCTTCATAAATATAACTGTAAACAAGTTTCTATCAAAATTACTTAGAAACCTCATAATAGATATAAAAGTGGATTCTGTTATTTCAGGGTGTTTCAAAATGAAGTTATCCACACAAAATCTCTGATCTTCCACCATTCACTGTAGAAGTGTTTGTCTACAGAAAAACAATTCAAGAGCTTTCTGGGGGCACAATGAACAACAAAACAACTAAAAATTATATTTGTATCAAAGCCCCAACCATAAAGAAACCACTCTCAAGCTAAAGTTAGCATTACATGGGACTTCATTCCATCTTCGGCACCAAGCTTAGTAGTTCGTGGCTGGATGCAGCACTCTCTGAGTAATAATTGAAGTGATGCTTTTATAACAGAACAGGAAACATCTTCAAGTGAAGACTAAGAAATGTATGACTTCTTTAACCATCAATAACTGGAAATACATTCACTGATAACACATAACTTATCTTAAAGATGCTACCATTCAACAGATTAGCAGCACGGAGAAACAATCATAGTAATTTTGAGCACAATGATCAAATGAACATCTGTGATGTCTGCAGCAGCACATCAGGTGAATCAAGAAAGCTATAAACTTAACAACTTATGAGACAAGAGTTGATGAAGGAAGACAATGCCTCATTACCCAAGTCAAGCAACCTTGCAACACTGAATGAGTGGGAATTCAAAATTCCAAGAAGAGACAAAATATATTCTAGAACCATCAAACATATATTTTATACACCTGACTTAAACATATATTTGTACACCAACATATTACTTTCTAAAATATGAACAGAAAAATAATGGAAAATAAAGCAGTTAATAAACCAATGTAGTTTGACTAAATTGTGTAATCTCTAAACAACTTAACATCAAAATACTTTGTAATTAATAACATTATATAGATATAGCCAATCCTTCAAGTGGTCAACAAAAACATAAATGCTTGCTTCATGACTCATGTTAGGGATTATGTGGCTCCATGCACACAGATGGTAAAATTTGTTACCAATTAATGTACTCTCTGGACCACAATACATGCTCATTTTAGTGGGAAAATTACAGGAAATAACATTTCACTGTATGGAACACTCAAATTCAAAGCAGTTATGAAACAAAATGGAAGTGCAGCAGGCCTCTTACTTTCTGCATTCAGTTAAAATCATTTGAATTTTGGAAGAACTAAACTGCCATGAAGCTTTCATTCCCACAGTCTTTGGTGCAATTTGCCATGTTTAATTTAAAGCCTACAGTGTATGAGGAAAGTAATGTTTGACACAAAATAGCACTAAACAATAAAAATAAATGAATGAGTACTCAAATTGTTAATTATTTACATTTTAATTATTTTACAGCCAGAATGAAGGAACAGACAATACACTTAACAAATTCTGCTGGATGTGTGGCACAATACACAGAATTTTTAGCTGTGAAAACTGGCCAGTGAACAAACCAGATAAGAGAAAGAATTATATAAATTACAACAAAGAGTGTGCGTGTGTTATAGAACAGTTCGGCTGACAAGTAGGATGATCCACTGCTTCTTTCCTACATTAACCTAGATGAGAAAGTGGGTGTGCGGACAAGTACTGCTCAACAATACAGAGCAGTTTCTTTTTATCTGGTGTTGCACAGGTCAACTGACCAAGCACATTATATAACCAAACGAGAACAAAAGATTTTTGATGACTTCAAATATTCTATTTTCCTTCCATGCTGCAAGGTGCAGATGAATTTCAAGCAATACTGCAGAAAACAAAGTGCATCATCCCAACAGATTTGGGCACAGATCTGCTATACTTCAACTTGACTGTTTATTATGCCAATGATTGTGAATAGAAGGGTATATTGTTTTATGGTAAATGTTTGGCAAAAAACAAACAAACTCTGTGGCCTGCAGTCCACAAGCGAACGATACCGACCGAGTGACCACCACTTGTCGACAAAGTCAGTGCCAACTTCTGTGGATAAAGGGTGTCACGTGGTCAGCACAATGGATCCCCATGGCCATTTATCTCGGTTTGCTAGACCGGAGCCGCTGTTTCCTTTAAATAGCTCCTCAATTATCCTCACGAGGCTGAGTGGAACCCGTTCCAGACCCACTATTTCTCAGAAAATCTGATAGTGTTAGGGGTAGAACCCAGGACCTCTGAACACTAGACCACAGAGATTCACTCTAAAAACTGAGAAACAAACACACACATAAAGAGTCTTACCACGGTTCATCATAGTAAGAATTCAGATAACAACCACATACAAATAGGAGTAATTAATCACAGCACAAAATTACAGAAAATAAGAGAACAACCCCATAGTCACCACAGGTTACTCCAACACATCTACTCTATTAACTGAAAGAGAGAGACAGGCAGAAAGCAGAGATACTGCACATACAGAATATGAGAGTCCTATTGAGTGGGGGATCAGACTGAACAGAAAATATCACTGGAACAACAATGGTATAATGCAATTTGTAACATCATATTCATTTGTTTTAAACAATATTTTTAAAAGCTCTCATCTCTGTGGCATTACTGAAGTCTTGACCAGAAATTCTCCATAGCACTTCCCGGTATCACTACATCAATTGCTTTAATTCTGTCAGCAATATGCTGTTTCACATCTATGACAGTGTGAGGTTTCTTGACATAAGTTTTAGATTTTAAATGTCCCTACAGGAAGAAGTTGGGCATTGTTAGATCATGAGAACAAGATGGCCCGGTTACTGTTCACTTACATTAGGTAAATGATGTAAATGCCAACAGTCATGATGTGACTGGCAGATACTCTACGCTCACTCACAACTATACTGATAGAAGCAACTGCAAAGATTGGTGAAGAGCCAGCAATAAAATCCTCCTTCTCACTTAATTCAGTCAGCTACGGCAGCACTCTGAAAGCCAACATACTCCAGTGTCACAAATGTCATTCCTCAATCACGGCTGACACTGACCACATTATTTTGGAAGCAAATCTGAATGATCAGTAGACTACTGCTGCTTAATGACCACCAAACAACAATGAAATCTACCCAAACATAAAGCCGGTTTTGACAAAACTAACATTTCACATTTGAGCCCACAGTTTGCACAGTTATTTCCCTAACGATACTACCTATATAGTTTTATTTATGGAGATGGTCCCCATAGTCAACTTTAACCAGAATCATTGAGTGGTTTTCAAGACAATCACAGTTACATTCCTTGTGGCACCTATTTTTGGAATTATAATCTTCATATTCACTGGGCACTGACCTAGAACGGATAAAATCTTAAATACCAAACGTGAATAACATCATACTGTTTTGGTGCTAGCAAGACACAAATTTATGCATATAGAAGGCATTCACACTCTTTTGCAGTCAGAAGCGTTGAACTCATAAACTTTCATCAAAATCTTGATTCAAATTTCTTCACAATAACAATTCTTTCTCATATATACTACATATATGAAAAGGTGAAAACAAATTAAAGGTGAAATACTAGATGAATACTCATATACTCGGTACATTCATGTGTAATAATAAAAGGAGCTACTGAAATTTTGACCAAATGTATCCATACTGCCTAATTTACTGAAGACACGAAAGAACAGTGACATATAGAGCATATATATATATATATATATATATATAGATGAATTTATTAGCAGTCTCTGAAATGAAACAAATAAAAGAGATATCCTAAATTCTGTCACAAATCATTCAGTGTGCGTATTCTAATTGTTATTAAAATGTCCAGAATGTTACAGGAGAATTAAATCTCATTGACTCCTGGTTTGTCTTTTTTTTTGTTTTGTTTCCTGTTATGATCCCCACATTTTTTGCTTCTGATATAATTTAATATTCAAATGTGATGCAGCTAATACTCACAACAAAAACAGCAGTAGCATAATGTCATAAAATATGGTAGGCATTCAGAACAGCTTGAATTTAAGAACTGACAAACAAAACAAGCTTCAAAACTAGAATTTTGACCTTTTATTAATTATATGTCAGAAGACTGACACAGAAACATCACAGCAGCTTACTTGGTTTACCACATGTTTCTTACCGAATGTACATAAAATATGAAGATGTACGTAATTGACATTGTACCGCTATGTCAAACACTGTACTTCAATCAAATTCAAAAACACAATTAGTACTTCACCAATCCTTGTCAGGCAAGACACTAACCACTCTCCAATTTATGTATCTTCTCTACAGCAAACAGTGATAACAATCATTTACTAGCTGCTAAATTATTTTACAATCTCAGGATAAATATACCAAACTATTTCACCATTTGATGTTTTTCAACAAGAACAGTGTGGTGCGCCAGATGAGGGTTGGAATATCCCTCCCCTCCATCTTGCAACACTGAAAATCCACACGGACATTTATTGCGACCGGACACTGAGCACGTACTTTATGTAACAAAATTACATGTCTCTGAATTGTATCATTTTAGGTAATCACCCCAACACACATAAACCTATCAGGTGCATTATCCTGGCATGCAAGGTCATTCACGGTCCCTTTCGAGGTATTGAAACTTAATTGGTCAAAAAGATTACACTACTATTACTACTTGTTATTCTTCATTACAAAGAATTTCCCAAACTTGCACAATTGTCGCATTTGTGTAACCTAATTCAAATATACAGACCAAACTGAGAAAGCTTCAAATATCTGACCCAGCTCCATCTCTTAGCTCAACCTCGATTGCCAACAAGATATTGAACATCTTAGTTCCGAAAGCTACGCATGGATAGCGGCACAAATTACTTGCCCGCGAAAATTCACATCCATTGAAATTCAAACGTGCTACTTCTGTGTCATTTCTATTATTATACTGAACCTTATATTTTTATTCACAAGTCAAACTATTAACGTAATATTTTCGAGACAATAACTAAATTAAAATGTCCTGAGAAATATAAAGGCAAAATAACTCTAAATGCAGAGTTCCGATTTTGTATTCAGAAAGAAAACAATGCCAAAGCATGGTTCAAGATGTATTTTAATAAAATTTGCGCTATAATGAAAACGAAAATCGAAACTGTTTTAAAATAGACATTAACACAGGATAGTGTTGGCTGTCCCAAAGTTGGTCCAGCATTTTTCTGCAAAAATTCCGAACATATTACCTTATCATTCTCCTTTCTTTTCTTTTTTTTTCTTACAAGGCAAGGCTCAGAAATATTTCGCCAATACTGTTGGTCTTCACCAGATATTCTACATACACCGGTCTAACAGAGATCTTATCTCTATATATAGTCTAACAAAATAAGGCATTAAAAGAAGAAAAGAAATGTACTTAAAGTAATAACGATTTAATTCGAGGCACATATGAATATCGATTAACGGCAGCTAAAATACCATGGCTGTGAATATTATAAAACAATAACGATATTAAATTCAATATTGGTTGTATTAATGCATAACTCCCATGGATATAGCTTCAGTTATCGAAGTTCATGTCTTATTCAATTAACGCTTTCGGTTGTAGCCTAGGTTTCATTTCTTTCCTCTTTCAAACGTCGATTGAGCGTTTCGATGGCTGCGCATGCGCACTGATGCAGAGATAACTTTCAGCTATACAGACGCGAAATCACATGATCGCAATGTAGTTAACTATCCAGAATCGGGGCAAATTTGCAATTTGTACATCAGTTTCTATAATTTTATGATGAAATTGCCTTTCTGTATTGTGAAAACACCTAAAGATTATAATCCGGCTACGTTGTTACAAACCACTGTGACCTAACTCCACCTGCCATCTATTGAAAGGGAAAGATACTTTGTAAGATTTGAGGCTTTCACGGCGGTGACTATGAAGAAAGCAGTCTTCTGGGCTTTGGCGCCGTGTATATGTGGTGTTAACCGACGTTTCGGAGGAACGTATCGCCCCCATCTTCAGGGTTGAAGAAAAAGTATAGGTAAATCTGCAAGCGACAACACCGTGAGACACGGTAACGCAGACTGAAGAGGATACCGTTAGAGCAGAGAGGGAAGGGGATGAACTGCGAGTAAACAAGTGAAAGCAGTGGTGTGGGAGGGGTGGGGGAAGGGAGCCGGGACCAGCGTGATTTGTGTAGGGGAGAATATAGCAAGGTTAACTGGCTGGGCTTTAACTGTGTGCTGAGGGGGGGGGGTTGTTATGTTGGTTGGTCATGGCCTTGTGGCTTCCTGGATCTAGCGTCATATCCCGGTGGGGGGGTTTTAAGAGAACAGATAAGAGGTCTCCAAGACTTGCTGAGACGAAAACCATCCTCTCTGTTCATATTCCCTGGATGCAGTTCGATCTCGATGGCTTCCCTAATGATGCGATCCATATAGCGCGTCTTGGTGGCGAGGATGGAGGTATTCTGAAGCTGAATGCGGTGTCCCAGTTCGATGCTGTGTTCAGCTACGGCCGACTTGTCCGGATGTTCGAGACGGATGTGCCGCTGATGCTCCTTCAACCTCGTGTCCACGGAGCGGCCTGTCTGCCCAATATAGACTTTCCCGCACTCGCATGGGATACTGTATACACCCGGTGTCCTTAGGCCCAGGCTGTCTTTAACCGGCCGGAGGAAATTGGATACTTTAATCAAGTCACTCATTATGCATTTTTGCTCGGCCTGTTATTATTTCATCCCTTTTGGATCCAAATATTCTCCTCAGAATCCTGTTCTCAAACGACCTCAGCCTGTCAGAGAACAAGATTTATACATATAAAAAGCCATGGGCAGGATTGCAATTTGTATATTTTAATTTCTGGACAGCAGATTAGAAGACAAGGCTCCGAACTTCTTACTTTCTTTTATCTTATTTACGTTATCCTCAAATATGTTTATATTGTAACGTGTATACCCACTGCTAGGAAACGGCTTGGTAAACACATTACCGCAACACACATGCCCATTGCTACGAAACGGTCCACTAAACATCTTCTTATGCAGGTGACAATAGGGAGTTCATTGCTATGCAACGACGTGGTAAAGAAGCTTTGTCGACAACGTATGCTGTGCTTTCCGTTGGGTCCGTGCAAAGTAGTTATAAGAGATGAATTCCGAAGCTGGCAGTTGTTGTAGAAGTACAGAACAGTAGTTGGAAGAGAATTGGAAGCTGGAGAAAATTGCAAGAATACTTAATAGTGATGTGAAGTGATAGTTCTTATGATAAATCCGTTGCCAGGAAATGGGCAGCATACCCTATCGATCTGTGAAGTGGGTAGATTAGCGATAACGCTGTAATTGTTGGCAATTAAGAATGTCTGTAATAGAAGGCGTTAATGAATCCAAATCATCGAAACCGTAACCCGTTCTTATTGGTCAAGAACCTAAGTACATAACATTATCATCAGCATAGGCGAGAAGCTAACCTGTCCTTTCAAATTCAGTCCCACCTAATTTTCTTGACCCTTCCTAATGGCATATTCTAAAGCACAGATTAAAAGCAATGACAATAAAAATCTCGTTTTAGACAATTTTGAGTGGAATATGTATATCAGACAAATGATTACCTCTATGGACTTTAACATAGGTGTTATTAAAACGTGTTTTAATAACTTAACCACTTTCATGGGAATCCTAGATTCAATAAGAATATTGTACAGTACTTGCCTCCTAACCGAATCATGGACTGTTTTTAATGCTAGTGGGGTGGGACTAAGTCCATTGTATTGCGGCAACTTCTGGCCTATTGTACCAGCCCCAGATGATAGGTGAGGGTGATTGTGGAGCAATTGGTGGAATGAAGATTGGCAGGGGAAACTGAAGTACTCAGAGAAAACCTGCCCTAGCGTCACTCTGTCCACCGCAAATCCCACTTGACCAGACCTGGGATCGAACCCGGGCGGCCGTGGTGGGAAGCGAGCGACTAACCACTTGAGCTATGGCGCTGCCCAATCCAACTTCCTTGAAGTCTACAAATAGCTGATGCACTATCTAACTGTACTCCACTTTTTTTTTGCAATATATTATGAATAATGTTATATTTTAGCGTCCTGTTGCACTGAAACATGTAGTGCAAAAGAGAAGAGTAAGGTGATAAAGTGTGCACTGTAAGACGGTTAGCATAAATCATGGATATATTATGAATGCAAAAGATCTGATCAATTGCTGATCTGTTACATCAAAACCCACACTGATGATCCCCAATAGTTTAATCTACATACAGACTTAATTTTGAGAGAAGGATGCTGGTTACAATTTTGTATGAAGTCTGTAACAGTCATATGTTTTGATAATTATATAGTATGGAAGAACTATGCTACCATCAACACAATATTTCAGTTATTACATTTAGATTTTATTACTGCAACATGGTTTGGTCATATATGACCATCATCAGGCAGGAATACGTATAGTTACTGAAATACCGATACGGATCCTTATCGGTGGAACGCGTTGTATTGAATATGAATATAAAAACTTTGCCTAAGATTTGAGTAGAGTTAAAATAGCAAATACACTATTAAAAATTGAAAAAAGGTAGAAATAAATAAGGGTATAATTTATATAAAATGCCAGAATATTTAATTTATATACTGCTAATATACCTTTAATATTTTAATAATATATTAAAGGTATATTAGTAAAATTAATTTATATACTGCTAATATACCATTAAAATATTAATGGTATATTAGCAGTATATAAATTCATATTAAAAGGTATTAAAAATATATTGGAAGTTGCTATGGCATGGAAATGAATGTGGAGAAAACAAAAGTAATGAAAATTTTGAGACAACCAACCCCAGTCACAATAAAGATAGACCAAAAACAACTGGAGAATG